CCAAGAAAGGTGTTATAAAATGTTTATTTTACAGCGCCAGACAAATATCAAATTAGCCGATATTTGACAGAAAAAAGTTTTCCTGTTAAACACACTTTATAGTAACGGTTATATTCAAAAATTGGTTAAATCTCAAATTCATAGACTTGTACCCCCAAGACACCTACCAACCACAATTACCTAATACATTAAAATAAGACAGCGTAAAGCGCCATCTGTCACCAGAAAGCGCATAGCTGCTGTTTACCATACATAAGAGATTTCTCCGAAACACTGGTGTTTGCAAAAATTAATATCAGAACCGTCTTCAAAGCAACTAACACACTAAGATCCCTGCTGTGCCACACAAAACCTACTAGTGAAAATACAGACACAAAAAAAATCAATATTGAAGGAGTCTCTCGCGCGTTTGGTGTATTGCGACAACAGTTGGGTTTCGCGTTCTTTGAGAGACGTTTGATGTCTTTGGGGACGATGGACGAGTGTAACACATTTGGTACATTGAAAAACGACGTCAAACTCGCTTTTGGAGGGATGGATGTCCTTTTTGGTAACTGGAATTACTACCCCAAGTGCGTGGTACCATCTTAGAATTCGGAATGACTTCACGCAATCTCAGCATATTACGGGACGTTCAGACTATTGTAGTAGCATACTGTATAGGAATGTGATAATAAAAGAAAAAACAAAGGAGCTGTCACCTGGAAGACAGATACATCAAATATATTGTCATTGTACTGAAGATCACCTTTATGATTGAAACGTTTACTACAGTAAAGAAGATCTGTCAATAGGTGTGGTTTTATTGGTCAGACAAGCATGGGGGATTACTGTTAGTTATCCAAGAATTATTTATCTTAGAATTATCAGATTTTATACGCCAAATTGATCAAATACTTGATTATTATTAGATAGGAGTGGTTAGTGTGCATTAGGGATGACGTTTTGAGTTTCCAATAAGTATTTCTGACTAGCTTTGATCATAAACAATAGTTTCCACTGTGCTGCGTCCGTTCCCAGATGGGGACAGACGAACGCCTATTTTTAACATTGTGTTTAGCACTAAAGGCAAGTGGTATTGACGCTCTATTGAGCATTCCATTAATAATGAGGAATATTTTTTAAAATGAGTGTGATAAATGGTTCTAGAGTTTGAAGGTACCAACTGTGCAAGTAGAGGTCATTGCGTGATATCATCAAAAACGAAACGACTTATTGTTTGATGTTGACGTTTAATTAACTCGGATGTACAGCGCTTATCCAAGAAAAAGAGGGATTGTCGAGTGTTGCAATACTTCAGTTTCATTAGCAACCTACCTGAAGAAAACACGAAATTCTTAACCTTGCGGCAGTTATTAGATTTGAACTTTACAGACATACGTACTAAGGACTGCGATGTGTAACCATATTTAGGGTAACCTAGGTGTGAGGTCAAAAGTTGAGAAATTCAGATACATTAACGGGAAGTAGATATATAATTTTCTACATATATTCACCTTTGTGTCCTGCTATAAACTCACCTCTTAACTTTCTTGTACGACATTTTAGAAGAAAAAGTCACATACAAAAGTTGTGGCGTCTAGTATAAATGTTTTCAGGCCTCTTTTTGTTTGAAATTTGATGACTGAGATGTTGTTTCTCGGACCTCCATTGTCTATACTGTTTTTTGATTCACAACGTTTCAGTTGATGAATGATCTTCAATCGTCATCAGGTGAAGTGGCGAACATTTTTTTTTTTTTTTTTTTTTTTTTTTTTTTTTTTTTTTTAACGAGGGGGGAATGCATTTACGCACCATACCATAGCACGAGCTACGACGTGTGTGGGGCTCCAGGGTCTTGAAGAGATCACCTAATACCCACTAAACCCTAAACCTCCGCGTGGCCCGACTCATCAGCGTCTCGGTAGGCCATGTGTTGTGCGTGACCTGCGGTCTGCTACAACGTCTCCTCATGTGTTTCAGTCTCTGGGAACGCCGGGTTGGTTCCCTTTACCTCGCACATTCTATCGATGTCGTTAAGCGATCATCGATAGAGGGTCTGCTAGTTTCTCTTGAAACTCTTGTTTTCGAAAAATCAAGAGTTTCAAGTCCTCTTACCAATATGTTGTTCCTGGTCCTGGTCCTGAAGGGTCCTGGTCCTGGTGGGTCCTGGTCGTGGCGGGTCCTGGTCCTGGTTGGTCCTGGTCCCGGTGGGTCCTGGTCCCGGTGGTTCCTGGTCCTCTGCATCCACGCCGTGGGGGGGGGGGGAGCAGCCGCAAATTCTCCTAGTCTCCTAGTCAAGGTTCCAGTTAGCGGGTGCCAACTGGGACCTTGGTCTGGGGTACCTGGTTCTGCGGTTGCGAGGCCTCTCGTCCGGATCGTAGTCCATGAGGAATCGTAGCTGCTCGTTCGGGTGGTCCTGAGCTTTCTCGAAGGTCTTCTCCGCTTTTTTCCTCATGTACTCGTGGATGGTATCCCAATGCAGGTCTTTACGCAAGGTTGAGTTCCTTACGTAGGAAGGTGCATTGGTGGCGATCCGGAGTAGCTTCATCTCTAGAGCAGCAAGTCGCTTGCGGTAGCTGGGGGCAGCGTACCCCCAGACCGCGGAGGCGTAAGCGAGCTGAGGTCTGGCGATGGCCTTGATCAGCCGTAGCTTGGTCGCTAGCGGCATCTGGCTGTGTCTACCCAGTAATGGATAGAGTTGAGCCATGGCTGCTCTGGTTTTTGCGATGACAGCTTCTATGTGCGCTTTCCAGGTGAGGGACTTGTCAAAAACGATCCCCAGATATTTGACATTGTCGCTCCACTGGATATCTTCATCGAAGATGGATGCTTCGAGAGGTCTTGCAATCCTTCTTCGTTGAATGAAGATTGCCTGCGTCTTCTGGACGTTGATGCGGATTTTCCATTTCACGCACCAGTCCTGAATTTGGTCCAGTTCACCCTGTAGTCTCCTACGGATGATCTCGGGTCGTCTATGCTTGGCGGCTATAGCAGTGTCGTCTGCATATAGGGCCAGCATTGTGTCAGCTGTCTTCGGCACATCGTAAGTATAGATGTTGTAGAGCAGGGGGGCTAAGGCTGACCCCTGGGGCACGCCTGCTTCCAGCTGACGTCTTGTTGAATGGCATGTACCAATCTTCACCGTGAACCATCTTTGTGTTAGATAGCTCTGGATCAGTTGGCACATGTTCGCATCGATTCCGGCGGCTTCCATTTTGGCGATGAGTCCATCGTGCCAAACTCGGTCGAAGGCTCGTTCCACGTCCAGCAGGACGAGACCGGTTGCCTCCTGGAGATTGAAGCCGCTGGTGATGTTTTCCGTCAGTCGTAGCGCTTGGAGTTCCGTGTTGTGGGAGGATCTGAAGCCGAATTGCTCTGGGGGGAGAAGTTGCAGTTCTTCTGCCTGCTTCTCTAGTCGAATGGCGATAGCCTTTTCGACTACTTTGCCCACCGAGGAAACCAGGCTGATGGGCCGGTAGTTCTGGGGCAACTTCCGGTCCTTGCCTGGCTTGGTGAGCATTATAACCTGGGCTTCCCGCCACCGCCGCGGGAAGTGGTTAAGTCTCAGAGTGGCATTGGCGATGTTGGTGAGCGCAGCAATGCCTTTGGTGGGAAGGTTCTTCAGCATCCTATTGTTGATGCCGTCCCTTCCCGGCGCCTTTCTGACCTTCAACCTGCGGATGATCAGACGGATTTCCTCTGGACTGGAGGGGTGATCCGTCTCCTGGCCAGGTGGTCGACTCCTCATGTTTTCGGCTGCGACTTCCACGGCCTCCTCGTGGTTGTCGTCCTCGTCTTCATGGTAATTGAGTCTGCATTCGGATTCTAGCGAATCGGCGAATGCTTCGGCTTTTTCTTCACTGGAGTAGGCCAAGCCGCGTTGGCCGTGAAGAGTGGGGATCGTGGTGCGCTGACGACGAAATTTTCGCTGCATAGACCAGGCCGTACCATCCTGGGTCTCTAGTTCTGCACAGGCTGCATTCCATCTGTTGTTTTGGAGTTCCGCGAGTGCGTTCTTCAGAGCTAACGATGCTCTGTTTCGCGCAACTCTCGACTCCTCTGTCAACAGCTGGAGATGTTCTCGCTTGAGTCTTCTGTTCTCCCTGATCAGGTGCCTAATATGGTGCGGTGCTGGACCATTTAGGTATCTAGGAACTGCCGTAGTCTCGGAGCGGGTGCTGTCCTCGTGCGCTCGCAGGACAGCATTCTCCAGCTCCTCTACTGCGTTGTCCAGTTCCTCCGCTGATCGGATGGTTGGAATTTGAGTGATGTTCCTCTGGACGTTGGATTTGTAAAGGTTCCAGTTCGTCCGTTTGGTGCTCAAGCTATCTCGAGTTCTAGACCCTGTACCAAGTGTTAGTAGAATCGGATTGTGGTCCGACGATCCTTCCACCAGGGTCTCTATCTCGAACTCCTCTCTGATGTTGCGGAGGATGGCTATGTCCAGTACCGCAGGTCGCCCAAGGCCGAATGGAATGTAGGTTGGTTGCTCCGGACCGACGATGACCCCCGCCAGGGCATCGACGTGTTCCTGGAGCTGCCTTGCATTCCTGTCTTCGACGTTGTTATTCCAAGCCGGAGACTTGCAGTTTAGATCTCCGATGACTATGCGTGCTCCTGGGCCTCTCAGGAGGTCAGCGATGTCATCTTCGTCTAGGGCCTCCCCTGGTGGCACATATAGGGAGGTGATTCTGTAGGGACGGTGGTTGTGATGGACCTGGACCGTGATTCCGTCCCCATTTATGTCTGCGGCATCGTCGAGGACATGACTCGTCAAGGTACGTTTGACGAGTAATGCGACTCCTCCACCTCTGCCCCTTCTGTCGTAGCGGTACGTCTCGTACCGCGGGAACGTCAGACTATGGGCAGCATCCAACTTCGTTTCTTGGATGGCCATCACCTCTGGTTGGTACTGGTCTAGTATCTCCTGGATTTCTGGTTTCCGTGCCCTGAAACCGTTGATGTTCCAGGAGATAATGCGTAGAGATTCTACGTTTTGACCTGTAGACATTTCGGGTCTAGTGCTTGTCTTGCATCTTGGCCTCGAGTGCATCCAGGCGGATTATGATGGCTTGCATCATTGCTAGCAGTCTGTCATCGCCGTGTTGCTTCTGCGCAGTAGTTCCAGTAGCAGTGGCGGCTGCTGGGGCAGAAGTGGACATAGGCTTCTTCACTTTTTGGGCGTAAGAAGTCCTATTTGTGGTGGGGACTGCTTTGGGGGCAGAAGCAGCTTTCTTCGGCGCCTTACTACATCCCTTGTAGTTGGCGGGGTGGCCTTCTCCACAGAGGCAACACTTGGCGTTTCGTTGCCCTGTTGGCGGCGCTGGCAGACTGCAGCTGGTGCTGTTGTGGTCCTCTCCACACTTAACGCACCGTTCAGCGAGACGGCAGTTCCGCTGTGTGTGCCCGTACCGCTGGCAGCGGTAGCACTGGCTGGGCTCGGAAGACTTTTTCTTCCTCTCGAAGCTGACCGTGAGCATGGCCAGCCTCTGGATCTCTGCAAGCTTTTCCGGCATCTTCGTCTTGACGAGGAAGAGCGGAAGTGGCTTCTTTGTGGTCCTTGAGGTCAGCTGCTGAACCACGGCGTCTGCGATGCCTTGGCTCTCCAGATCCTCTTTGATGTCATTGACTGACATCTCTAGTGGCGAACATGCTCGTTCCTTCCTTATTTATACCGTTTGACGAAGTGGCCGGTGGTTGGTTAAGACATGTCCCTCGTTTCAGTTGGTTGAGTTGCAGTCGCTTGATGTGTCTTACACTGGTTCAATTTCCAATCTTCAATTATTGTCAACATTTTCATTCATTATTATGAAAGCCGCTTCCTTGAATTATCTCCGATGCCAGTGTTTCTTTGTGTACGATCTTAGCATGTTCTCAAAGTATTCTGTAGTTCTTTGTCCAAGCGTGATCTGCCATTCCAGAGTTATTCGTTTCTCCCCGCTCCATTCTGTATGTTTCTCCTATACAGGGTGTTCCATAATTATTGCGACAAAATAATAGGGGTTGTAGAGGGCATCAAAATGAACAATTTTGCCTTATAAACCCCTGTTCGGAAATATGCCGTTTGGGATGCAGCAAAAAAAAAGATCAGTTTCTTGAAACAGCTTACCTACAGTAATTGCTCAAAGTGTCCTCCACCTTGCTCAATACACAGCTGTGCACGATTGTTCAATGATCGGCGAACTCTGTGGCATACCCCCGGTTTGTCCTGAACATGTGCGGACGCGGCCATCACTCTTCCCAGTAGCTCTTGTTGGTTGGGAACAGTAGTTTCGTACACTAAAGCTTTCAGATGGCCCCAGAGAAAATAATCCAGTGGGGTCAGGTCGGGTGACCGCGCAGGCCAAGGCACAGGGCCACCTCGGCCTATCCACCTATTTGTCGTCCAAATACTGCCGCACTTGTAAAGAAAAGTGGGCTGGAGCGCCATCGTGTTGAAACCACGTGTTGGCTCTTATGTTCAGTGGCACATTTTCTAATAGTTCCGTTAGCACATGCTGTAAGAATCGACCATAAGCATGCCCATCCAAACGTGGTGGAAGCAAATATGGCCCGATGATATACTCGTCCACAATGCCGCACCAGATGTTAATTGAAAACTATGTTGGTCTCTATGGATGGCTATGGCATGAGGGTTTTCTTCATCCCAAATGTGACTGTTACGGCTATTAAAATAACCGTCCTTTGTGAAACAGGACTCGTCAGTGAACAAAACGTAGCGATCAAAGTTTGGTTGCCTCAACTCCTGCTGCAGCATTTCATGTGCAATAGCACGCACGCTTGTACGCGGATTGGCCTCTAGTTTGACGCACCACTCAGATAAATTAAATGAATCGGTGTGGAGAATTTACGATAACAAAAATGTAAACACAGCAGGCTTTTTTTTACAAATCGGCGAGACCATGAAATGTGCTAGACGAACATTTTGCAGCTGTTGAATGTTTTGTTTCTCTTAAGGTAAAATTAGCGGTAGTGCTCAAACGGCATATTTACGAACAGGGGTTTATAAGGCAAAATTGCATATTTTTATGCCCTCTACAACCCCTATCATTTTGTCGCAATACTTATGGAACACCCTGTATATGTCTCCGCATTTACATATCTTATTACTGGTATGGCAGGGAAATAATGTCTATGGACTAATTATGTTCAGCCTGTCTGACTGACTTGATCTGTTTGATTTCTCTGTTATTCATGTTTGTACCTAACTTTTTTCTCAGAGGTTCTAGTTGGTGCTGAACATAATTTTTTATGAACAGATGAACGATGTTGCATGGGAAGTGCAGAGTCAACTTACTTGACGCCATTTTTTTGAATAACTGACGAATCTTTTGGAATTTCAGTTAGGAAGTGGGATAGAATGTATGTGTAAGCTAAGGCGACGATTTTTTCCGCTAGCAATACCTCATAACATTATTTCTAGTAACATTTACAATGTTTTAATGAAGTTCAAATCTGATGAACACTGCAAGGTCAAGAGTACTGTATTATTTTCTTCTGTGTCAGACAAAAATTAACTTTTTGTTATTACAAAACCCTGCGGCCGCCAATCTGTTGCAACATTCAAACGATTCTTAGTGGAACAACACAGTAAGTACAGACAAGTGAGAGAACACCGGCCATTACCGAATTCCTGTATTGCCAAACAGAAACGTTGTAATTTGTTATTAATTTCAGTTAGAACTTAATTAAAAGGAATGGCTTTCGCGAATTAGAGTATAGCTATCGCTTTACGTTGAATTTTGCTAACTTTTTACTTTCACTCTGCATTTTTGTTCTGATTGTTACGTTGTTACCGTTCACTAAGGTAGGGTTCAAACATTTCACAAATGTCTACGGAATAGTTTTTTCTAAGGAAGCAGAAAATAGTTCTGATAGTCTAACTATCTAACTCTACTGGTACCAAATTGTAGAGCAATAAGCAAAGCTACAAAATATACTTCAAGGAACATGTTTTCTTACAAAAAGTGCAGCTGAACTTTTACTTATGACGCCTACCAAAGGGGAAGAATTGTAATCGCGAAAACTTTTGAAAATGAGATAATATGCTAATGCTAATCCTATAACCGCCCATAACTTGTTAAGTTGAAATTTTCACACAGTGTTACTACTATGCCAACTACTTAAAAGCTTTGCAGTTGTTGACATTCTGTACAGTGGTATCGGAGCTGTGGGCAAAAACACAAAAGCAATAAAAACCGATCAAAATTTGGTTACTCCTAATCATTTTCAGAAAAAAATTTCAGGGATTTAAAATCAGAGGTTGGGGGTTGTAGGGGGTGGGAGAGAGTATACGAGTAGATAATTTTTCTGGCAGCTGTACATTTATACACTTCGAACCCGATTGATTTTACGCACCTATCAGTACTTATTTCACACATCATTGATTTCCCCGAACATTTGCCTTTATACGTTGAGCGCTGTCCGCGAGTCTGCGTCTGATCGACTCTGACTGCATCGCCGGTTCCCTCGAGCTACTATGCCAGTGTGGTTCAGCACCGTTGTCAGATGGTGGATACTTGGAGCAGGAAAAAACAAGCGTCACCGTTATGAAACTGGTGGGGACTATGGAGTATGGGCTAATTGCATGAGCCTATTAGGCTGACTTATCATATTTAATTTTTTTGTTATACATGTTTGTACCTATTTCAGAAGGACTAATTTGTGCCGAAGATAATCGTTTATGAACTGCCTGAGCTTATTTTCGTATTTGAAAGTCACTCCAGTGGCGGCGGATCTATGGGTAAAAACAAAAAACTACTAAAAACCGCTCAAACTTTGTAGGTACTACTGAATTGGGGGTGGTGGTGGTATGGTGTTGTAGATGGTGAATGAATGAATGAATCTTGAATTTTAGAGGCATCCCGGCCACCATAAGGAGCCAGTGCATAGGCCGCTTAAGCGGGCCCTTATGCACCTCTACAATACTTAAATCACAAGCCTCGCCCTTTTAGCGAAGTTGAGAATCGCCTTGAGTCCAAGCTCCTTTACGTCCTGAGGGTCCAAAGTAATGGACCCCAGTATAGTCTGCCTATAGTAGCTCAGAGCTTCACAGCAACACAAAACGTGCGCCGAGGTCTCTTCCTCTACTCTGCAGCATTCGCACAAGGGATCCTCAGCCACCCCCATCACGTGCAGGTGCCGCCTTAACGTGTTATGGCCAGACAACAGTCCCACCAGCAACCTTAGGTTGGCTCTACCCAGAGATAGGCAGAAGCGTCCATCCTTAGCACTGGGCCCTTCAATGAGCTCTCGTGCCTGGCGGAGATGTCTAGAGATACTTCTCCATTTCTGAGAGTGTTGTCTTGCAACCCACGTCTCCATTTTCCTCCTAGCTTTATGCGCGGTTACTCCTAGAGCTGGCTCAGGACCAACGAGCTTGCTGGCTGATCCTGTTTTCGCCAGAGTGTCCGCCGTCTCATTGCCCCTTATCCCAGCGTGCCCCGGTACCCATATTAACGATACCGGATACCTCGCTGCGAGGCAATCCAGAGCCTCCCTGCATTGCAATACAAGACTCGAAGTAATCTTACATGCACTTAGTGCTTTCATTGCAGCCTGGCTGTCGGATAAGATTGTTATTCTTCTCCTAGGCCCACCCTCCTCCAGAATGTGAGATACACAAGCCAGAATCGCAAAGATTTCCGCCTGGAAAATGGTGGTGTACTCACCGAGAGGCAAAGATAGCCTAGTTCTAGGTCCAGAGACCCCAGCACCTGAGCCCTCTTCGGTGACCGAGCCGTCCGTGTACCAGACCTGCCCGCTCACTTCGGAGAGTCCTCGGCTACCGGCGTCCCACTCCTCCCTCTTTGGGTACTCAACAATAAACTTGCGGTTGAAGCGATATTTAGGGGTAATACGATCACCCCTGCTTAGAAGGACGGGGTCCTCCCTTTCTAATTCGACTAAGATGGCAGTATGCCCCTTGACCGGATTCAAGAAAGCCCAGCTGCCCTGACTCCACAGTCGATGAGCGACTACTCTCGCTTCACCGCGGATCACCAGATCCAATGGTGGGAGATCCAACAGAGCTTCCATTGCACTCAATGGCGTTGTTCGCACTGCGCTTGTAATGCTAATACAGGCCAAACGCTGAATTTTATTGAGTTTGGCCTTAGTTGACTCAGTTCTAATGCAAGGCCACCAGACCAGGGAGCCGTACAAGAGAGATGGACGTGCTATCGTCGTGTAGAGCCAGTATACCACTTTGGGTTTAAGCCCCCACCTTACACCGACAACACGTCTACAAGCCCACATCGAATTGCGAGCCTTGCTAACCTTGTGTTCCACATGCTCTCTCCAGTTCAGTTTGCAGTCCAGAATAATTCCCAGATATTTCACTGACTGGGACAAAACTAATCTAGTCCCAAAGAAGGTCGGCATGACCAGTCCGTCAAGCCTTCTTCTCCTAGTGAATAGGATCAGCTCGGTCTTTTCAGCATTAACAGAAAGATCGACTTCCCTACACCACGATTCCACGGAGCGCAGAGCGCCCTGCATAATTTCCGAGACTGTTCTACAGAAACGCCCCCTAACCACTATGCTTACGTCATCAGCATAGGCTTGCGCGTAGACACCCATACTGCTGAGCCTAACGAGCAGTTCGTTCACCACGATACACCACAGTAGGGGTGACAGAACTCCGCCCTGAGGGCAGCCTCTAGCTACGTTCACGCTGCAGCTTACGTTATTCAGCATAGCTGTTGTTACCCGACCCTCCAGAGTAGAGAGGACCCAATCTATTAGGATTGATCCAACCCCGTGTCTAACCAAGGCCTGTCTGATAGAGTCGGTTGTGGTGCAATTAAATGCACCTTCAATATCCAAGAAGGCCACGAGTGCCACTTCTCGCTGATCTAGAGTCTTCTCCAGCCTCCCGACCAGATTGTGTAAGGCCAGATCAGTCGATTTTCCAGCTTGGTATGCAAACTGATTTGCATGAATGACACACCTTTCCAGTGGGCCATCCCTTAGGTATCTATCAACTATCCTTTCCAGGGTCTTAAGCACAAAAGATGAAAGAGTAATCGGTCGAAAATCCTTCGGGTCAGTATATCTATCTCTGCCCGGTTTAGGAATGAATACCACGTTGTAGATGGTAGTGTCGCATCTCTAGGTTTTTTTATAGCGAATCCTTAATACCAGGGCAACGCGGCTGCTATTAGGAGTTTAAAGAAACTTTGTTAATCCGATTTTTGAACTGCCTAAGGTTAACCTCATATCTGAACCTGTGGATTATATGGCCATAATCTTCCATGCTTGTCTGGTCAATAAAGCCACGTATTTTTACATATGGGATGCGTTGTGAAGTAATTCATAATTATTTCAAGTATGCTAACATAACATCTGTTATGTCATGTGTGCCATCGTGTTCAGAAATTCACGAAAACCCAGTAACAAGGAATGAGGACCTACATTACTCAATTAATTTCTAAACACACAATAATTAAGTGTTGTGAATTATTTCGCATCGCATCCCATGTGTGATTTGTTCCCTTATAATCGAATCCTTTTCTATGTAGCCTCTATGTTTCTTTATTCTAGATTTAAGCGGCCTTTATGTTTCACCGCTGTAGCATTTACCGCATTCACAGTTTACTTTATATACATATTGAATTTTTTGTGTCTTTTTTTTATAGCTTGAGCTATTTGGGAATCCTATTTCTGGATACACCCTCGTATTATAGAGAATAATATTGTAAACACTTACATTAGAAGTCTTCCAGCTTCTTTACTCCTGTATATGTCACACTCATGTAGAGGCTTCGTGAGATCTGCTGGGGAATACTGCCCTGCTGCCATGCATAACGCCTTGTAGATTTGGAACTGAAGGATGGTACTCACGAAGTATCTAGAAATAGAAAAAAATATCTTTTAGTCTTCCCGAAAACGGGTGTAGTGACATGAAATTAACGTTATGGCTTTAATTATTCATAGCGCACCCGTTTTTCGAAATTTGCTATTTATCTCTAGGGATTAGGGATTCATCAAGTCAAGTTGATCGATATTTTGAGAATCTACTCGTCAAACAAAATTACTGAGAACATTAATGCTTGACATGACTTGATTTTTTTATTGTTCTACTTGTCTGGAGGACAAGCATTTTCAAACTACTTGGTACTTGATGGCAAATTATATTTTTGTTCTGCATCTCAGTGATACCTAATTGCACTACCGTATGTTGTATTTTAATGCAAATAATCACGAGTGGTGGAAACAGCATGAAATTCTATTCCCTAATTTAATTTCAATGAAAATCTTTTATCGACACCTGCAACATCATTGTCCACTGAAAGTGTATTTTCTAGGGCTGTACTGAACATTACAGAACTGGACAACAGATTAAGCGACAAATTCGTTAGGACCCTCGTAGTTAGCGAATGAAAAGCTAATTAAGTATTTTTCTTTCTTTTATTAGCTGATACTGATTTCCTATGAGTTTACAGTTTTATCGTTATACTATGAACGGAATATTTTTTCATTATGTATTGTTTTCTCTGTTGTTGTCACAGTCTTTTCGTTGTGTATTTATAATCTACTCGTATTTATTTACAAAATTTAAGTAAGTACTAATTTTCAAGTACTTGACGTAAGAAGTAATTGACTTGATTTACATTGCTAATATCTAATATGTACTTGACTTGAGCATGACTTAAAATCAAGTTAAGTCGCTTAAAAAACCCATGTAGTGTTTCACAGGGAAAAGTTATGGTATTCAATATACAGGGTGTAAACGTTATGGAAGTCATTATTGAAATGGGTAATAGGGGAGTCAAAACAAGTCAAAATGTTAATATGACCCATGTGCTTTATATCGACCACAATCACCATAATCTTACTAATTTTTATAATCTAATCTAAAACGTTTTTGAATTGGGTAACTAACAAATAAATAGCATTAAGTTTTTCTGAGTTAAGCCAAAATTTTTAGTCAGTAAGTAAGTAAGATTCATTAAATTAAATATTTAAAACACACATGACCGAAGGACATTTGTGCAAGTGTACCAAAGACTTCGAGATACAGGAAGTTCAGCCCACTAATATTCGCACTCGTGAAAGACAGGTTACTTTAGAGCAGGAGGAACAAATTTTAAATATCGTGAAAATCAATGCAGATATCAGCACTCGGGAATTAGGCCGCCGCGTAGGATTATCGCATACCATAGACCATAGAATCATACGGGAAAATTTGCTTTATCCCCACCACGTACAACGAGTGCAGGCCTTGTTACCAGAACAACAGACTAACATTCTGTCAGTGATTTTTGCACAAAACATTGAAAATCTGGATTTTTTAAAAAGATTCTAGCGACGGACGAATGTACTTTTACGCGAGACGGGATATTAAATTTCCATAATACTCACACGAGGGCCCAAGAAAATCCTCATACCATTCGTCAAGGTCATTTCCAACAACGTTTTAAAATAAATATTTGGGCGGGTATTCTTGACGATCAGGTAATTGGCCCTTTCGAGTTACCTCCAAAGTTGTCAGGAGAAGGATACCTTAGCTTTCTAGCCAATAACCTACCAGAACTTTTGGAACAGACGTTAGACAACATGCCATTACAACGGAGACAGAATTTGTGGTTTCTTCATGACGGGGCAAAACCACACATTTTTAGAGGCGTCATTCAGTATTTGAATGAACATTATCCAAATCGCCGGATCGGTCGAAATGCTACTGATCCTCGAAAATGGCCAGCAAGATCTCCTCTATCCGATGGATTTCTGGTATTGGGGAGAACTTAATGGGGTTGGTTTATGGGGCTGGTCCAATAACAACTGAAACACAACTTCGCGAACAAAGATTTAATGCGGCTGAAATAATAAATGGACAACTTCGAGGACGTAGAGTAAGTAGTAACTGAATTCGTCGTTATGAAGCTGGTGTGGAAAGTGGAGGACGACACGTTCTTTAAATACAAAAAAGTGCAGTGTGGGCTTTAAAAAGAAAAACAATGTATGTATCAAAATTGTGTTCCCTATTTATAAGTGGATTTTTTTAATACGTTCAATAAACTTTCACACACCAGGTGAAGCGCTGAGACAGTTAGTGGTAAGTCCGATTTTTTTTAATTGTTTGCATTTTACGAGTACATTATCAAATAATGAAATAATACCCCAAAAATAACAAATTCCATCTTTATTTACAGTGCGTTCCGTCGTAATTTGCGTCTGGCATTGCGGCGTTGTCAGATTTTTATTTTACTTTAAAGTCGCTTTTGTCTAAAAAAATGCCGTTTTGACCCTCATGTTATATAAAACATTTTGCTTCTTTTAACCCCCTCTATCAACCATTTAAATCATGAAGTTTACAACCTGTATTTGATTTTCATACTTCTCGACTATCCTCGGTATTTAATTATTATTCGGCTATACCGCTGAAATTCCCATATAAACGAAAGTGCGTTACGGCAGTTCGGCCTTAAACTTGCCGCATCGTCTCTCATTATTATTATTAGCATTACACCATCGGGTTTTACATAAATACTACGCGTATCCGCGCAACGTAAGACGTTTACTTATAAGCTACCGTGTTCTATTTTCCATTGTCTTGAGGCCGATCGACGCAATTTTTTGTTGTTGCATCCATCTTTGTGAAATTCTTCTACGGTATTTCCAACGGATTTTGTCCTCTGTCCAACTAATCAATCATTTTTTATACTATACGAGTATCAATCATTCAGTAGCAACTCAAAAAAGTATTTCAAGCATGAATGGGCTAATATTCCTAAACAACCCCCTTTCAGTCCCTACGCCACTGGCGAGGACGTACTATAATCGCGACAAATTTCGAAAATGAGATATAATAATGGGTAATTTTTTTGCTAGTATCTTTTTGGTAACACTGTTTTTGACAGATGACGCGTGAATCGTGTCTTGTGTCATTGTCAAACTTGTTCAGTTTGGTCTATAATTTAACCTGGAATCGACTTACGAACGAACAACGCTTGCAAATTATTGAATTTTACTATCAAAATTCATGCTCGGTTAAGAGAGTGCATCGAGCACTGCTTCCAATTTATGGGCAATTTGGTCGGCCTACTGAGGGAGCTATTCGGAAGCTTGTGACTAAATTTCAAACCCAGTTTACATTATTGGACATTAAACCACCAACACGCAGACGTAGAGTGAGGACTGAAGAAAATATTGCGGCTGTATCCGCCAGTGTTAGTGATGACCGTGAAATGTCGATTCGCCGCCGTTCGCAGCAATTGGGCCTCTGTTACTCTACTACGTGAAAAATTTTGCGGCCGGATTTGGATGTAAAACCTTATAAGATACAGCTGGTGCAAGAATTGAAGCCACACGACCTCCCACAACGTTTTCAATTTGGTGAATGGGCGCTGACAAAGTTGGAGGAAGATCCACATTTTTATCGAAAAATTGTGTTCAGCGACGAAGCTCATTTCTGGTTGAATGGATACGTTAACAAGCAAAATTACCACATCTGGAGTGAAGACCAGCCAGAAGCATTGCAAGAGCTACCAATGCATCCCGAAAAAATCACTGTTTGGTGTGGATTATGGGCCGGTGGCATCATCGGGCCGTGCTTCTTCAAAGACGACAATGGCCGGGACGTAACTGTGAATGGCGAGCGCTACCGTGCGATGATAACAAACTTTTTTTTGCCCAAAATGGAAGAGCTGGACTTGGCTGACATGTGGTTTCAACAAGATGGTGCCACATGCCACACCGCACACCCTATTGAGAGGCGAGTTCGGTGAACAGTTTATCTCACGTTTGGGGCCCGTCAATTGGCCGCCTAGATCATGTGATTTAACGCCGTTGGACTATTTTTTATGGGGCCATGGCAAGGCTAATGTCTACAAGGATAAAGTAAGCCAATATTGAAGCATTTATTCGTGAGATACCGGCCGATATGTTGGAGAGAGTGTGCCAAAATTGGACCTTGCGCATGGGCCATCTAAACCGGAGCTGCGGCCAACATTTACATGAAATAATCTTTAAACATTAAATTATATCGACCGTTCTATCGACTCAAATAAAGATGTAATCGTTTTTTTCAAATTTTTTGTGTTTTTTTTTGAAAATCAAATCCTACACCTCTTAAAAAATCACCCATTATAATAATCTTTTTTGGGTGTTATAAGAAATGTAGATCTCAAAAAACCATGTTATCCGTTTCCGTCGGTCTGTCTATCTGTCCACTAATCGTTGGCCTCTATAACTTTGGAAGTACCGCTCGGATTTTCACATAGAGTTATTACTATGTCAAGGACGAAGAACCTTTGTGGCCTTTGAAGACCAATGCTAGCGGAGAAAAGACGCAAAAGGAAAAAATAAAAATCACCCCAACTTCTATTTTGACGTTTCAGAAGTACCTGATCATTTTCAGATAAATTCATGCACAGATTTAAAAATTGGATGCTGGAGGTTGTAGTGAGTGAGGGAGAGTATATCTTAATTACCAGAAATGTATATTTCATATATCATACATACATTTCCCCGTACATTTGCCCTCAAAGTGTTTATTTATCAATTTCGATATTCCTTTGCTGTACATATTCGTTGCCAACTTTTTGCTAAGAGGGACTAGCTTATGCTGGCTGAGTACAATCATTTATGAATTGATAAGCGTTGCGTAAAAGTGCAGAGTCAACCTACTTGACGCCATTTTTGTACCCCTATACATTGCCTCTAGAGATTAAAATCCCTTAAATTCATTCAATGACCATTAACGTACATGTTTTGGGTCACTGTAACCGACGTTATGAGACTTTGCGGTGCTGAAAATGAATTTTCGCTATTGATGGCAACATTGTAACTAAGCTTTGTGTAACTAAGCTATTTGGGTTACTGAATTCAAATACGATCGTGGAAAAA